ATACCTTTGATGCTACAGCCAAGAAGCATTTTGGTATTACAGAGAGTTCCGTTGTGATGTTTCAACCAGAGAAGTTCAGGTCAAAGTATGAGGACAAACACATTGTGTTTAAGGTAAACAAAAACATGTCAAGGTCAAAGATTATGATTCATTCAAAACATTTCTCTTTCTCTGACTGGCTGAAATCCCCCAGCTAAGTCCTCAAAATTTGAAAGATGTTTGTGATTGATATCTGATGGAGTCACGTCAATAGTTCAGTTTAACACCCCTAAAGGCCCTGTTGTTTTAATACAGTGGGGGAAAATGGCGGGAAATTTCAGACGTTTTAAAAACATAGCAAAAACAGCGAAGATACAAATACTTGATGGGTGAGACTGCTCTTTGAAGAATATCTGCTACATGTGGACTAAACATTTCTTTGTGTCCTGAATTTGGCAAGAAACAGGTAATTGAATTTGTGAACTAAACATCCATTTAGGCTAGCATGTTCTTAAAGTAAAATTATTTTGAATGGTTGAATAATTTAACAATTACTGGATTCAGCTTTCCTATGATTTGAACAGATTGAGGAGCGAGGGTAACACCCTCGTGCCTCAATTCCTATAATTGTTGAACAAAAGAAATGTTGAGAACAAATTTACAATGTTCTAAATCTCTACATATCACAACAACCTATAATAATTTTGTTGGGGGAGGCATTTTCCCTGATCTTCAAATACTGTCAAACTACTCGTAACTGATCACCCAGAATGTGAAGATTAAGTGGTTGCTAACAAGGGGAGGTGGCTGCTTGCAAGAATCAAACCACAGTAGGTCTCTTCCTAGTATAGGTCTGGACACATCTGTGTTTTGGAAGAAAATTCATAGCAGGCAATTCATATAAAAATTTCCGATATGTGTAGTTTCATGTCATCTCTAAAATTCATTACATAATCTGAGGAGTGTAGTAACAGCAAACATAGGGATCAAACCATTAAGTGGTCGCTTACAACAGGTTTAAACAAAAGAAAACTGTCGTCCAAAAAAGTGGTCGCAGTCGCTTTTAATGTGAGAGGTGGTCGTTTTAGCTGCCTTTCACGTTTTTTCATCTTGGCAATTTGAAAGCATTTAATAAATTTGCATTTAATTTTGTATTGTTTCCTTTAACATCAGGGAAAGGACCCCAAACCAGAAGATCTTCAAAAGTTTTATAAAGACAACCAGATTCCACTTGTGGGGCAGATGAGCCTACATAGCAAAGAAAAAGTGTACACTAAGCGGCCTCTGTGTGTTGTCTACTATGGTGTCGACTTCAGCTTTGACGGTCGGCAAGGTGGGCTAAATTTTGACTGTTGTTCTTTTGCTTACACTATCAGTGAAAACCAGGTTTGAAAGGCTATAATAGAGAGCTGTAGATTCTGAGAAGAGGACGACTACGGGCACGAGATTGTCTCAGTACTAATTCTAGTGCTCTTGCGTGAACCAATCGTCACTTTGGCGGGAAAAGGTGATAGCCGTCATTATTCTTCTACGAGTTTTAGCGAGAGAAGGGACCTTAAGAAACTACGATGGCGACGGCGACGGCAACGTCAAAAAGCAATGGGTCTAGTTAGCAAAACAATAGCTCTGCACGTGCATCACGGTTTTTTTGTACATTTCTTTGCCGTCCCTGCGCGACTACGACGTGAAATGACCAAAAAATTTAAGCTTTTTTGAGGACGGGAACGGCAAGGCGTTAAAAATTCTACTATCTCTGTCTGAACTAAGGTGCGGCCCCCTCTCTTCAGCTCCAACATAAATTTCCTTCTTTTAAGTAACTGTGCGACTCGGGATAATCGCCAAATGGTTTGAAAGGATGCGGAGTCTATTTTTCAGCAAGGTTTTCCTGGACGTCGCCGTTGTCGGATTGTAAGGTCCCTAATGTCCTAGTGGCGGCAACAAGTTATCAGTTTTTTAGAAAATCATTTTGCCACCGGGAAAGGGCTAAACCTTCTCCAATAAAAGTAACCCTACTAATTTTTCGGGTGAAAAATAGTACAATGAAGCTTTCGGGGGTTGAATTCTTTTCGACGGTACCCGAAAAAACGTTAAGTTAAATCTCGTACTCGTAGTCGCCCTCATCCTTAAATCTTAAGTTCTCTAATATAAGCCTGAAAAAAACAACCGATGTCTCGCGACGCCACCACAAGTTCCCTAGCCTGGGACAAGGCTCCGCAGTGGACGAAAAAGGCGGAAAAAACAATCGACACGTGAAGCGAACCGGCGGGAGTAATTTGTTTTTGCTGTTTCACTCCATTCTTTGCCTTCCCCCCCCCTCCCCCCGCCCCCACTTCGTTGCCTGGTCCCATATCTGGGTAGTAATTCTGATTGATCGTGCGAGGGAAATTTTCTTCAACCAATCAGAAGCACTTCCTAGTTCTGGGTAGTGACACGTCATCAGTATGGAATTTCTGGGCTCGTTCTTCTGACGTCATTTTGCAGTATTAGCGTCGAGAAATGTCGGCTGTTATCTCAGGCCACTGCAATGTATGTCACTGAAGTATCCTTTCCGACTGGCAGTCGATGTTCTTTAGCTTTTTTGGTAATAAAAAGTACTTCTTTAAAAAAACTGGTTTTTTNGTTTTTTTGTGATAGAAACCGCAGTGTGTTTGAATGAAAGATTGACTTTTTTCAGCTTAGTGTTGCTGTTATTTTTATAAAGGTGTTTTTTCGCTGCCAGGAATGACTGTACCTTCTAAACCAGATGTAAACCATAATTATTCTACCATACGAAAAGTCGTCAATTTATTAAATAAAGGAAAATTTAACCTTTATAAAAAAAATTTGAACCCCTATCGCTTTTAGGACCTGGGAAGTGCGCGCCCAAAGCGCTCCCAAAAAGACAGGACATTTTCTGCTGCTTTTCCTGTGTTGTGATCAATTTATTTTCACTTATCAGTTGGCTTTGTCAGCGTGATCGTGTCATTAGACTGCGCCTGTATTGACTAGTTTATTTCCTTGCATCTCTTTCTAGCCACAGAGTTTTGGCGCCAAAAGGTTCTGAAAGTGGCCAATGAGCATCGTGACATCACGTTTGCTATTGCTGATGAAGCAGAGTTTGAGAACGACCTCAAGGAATTTGGACTGGACGATTCTGGAGAGGAAATTAGCGTGGGTTGCTTTGACGAGTTGAACAGGAGATACAGAATGGAACCTGATGAAGAATTTAGCGAAGACAGCTTGCGTGACTTTGTGGAACAATTTAAAGAAGGTAAACCCGTGCTTCATGTATTTTTTGTAGTTGCTGTTGTTGTTGCATAGCTGCCGCTGTTTACTATTTTTCCAGGGCTAGATGCACAAGCAGCCTTTCGCTCCAAAGTGTCAAAAGTGCCAAGCCTTTTTGCAAAGTTGGGTGGGAGGCTGCCAGGGAAGGGTGCGGGCAGAAGAGGGAGGTTCCAAATCCTCTGAAATTGGTCACTAAGAAAATCATCTACAAAGCAATTCAGGGGGCATTCGCACATCTCGTGTAGTAGAACAATATCTTCACGTTTTTTACCTTGGCGTCTTAGTTTTCGCTTTCACAGTAGAAGGTGGGCGAAACACGTGCATCGCAGGTGTTTGGGAGCAACAAAAAACTATGAACGACCGCTTCAAGTTTAATAATTTATCCTGATTGTAGTGAATGTAAGTAAGTCTTTACACAAAGAGAAGGAATGGGAGTCCGCACATCCTCCCCTTGCTTTGCCCCTACAGGGCCTGAAAAACAATTGAAGTCGTTCGATTGACAACTTTTTTAAATAAAATCATTGATTTATTTACAAGATAACTTGCCTGGACCTTTGCCCATGAGGAAAGTGAGCTTAAAGAGTTGCTTGCCTAGCAAGAAAATGTACTTGTCACGAACGAGCGGACGGGGTTTTTTCGAGCCCTGGCCTGTTTAATTGGCAATATCTCCTTTACGCAGATAACTTATAAACGTTAACATTTTTCGTAACAGGAAACCTCAAACCCCAAGTGAAATCTCAGCCATTACCAAAGAAAAATACAGGTCCCGTCACAGTTGTGGTAGGAAAAACATTCGAAGAAATCGTGATGGATCCCAAAAAAGACGTGCTAATTGAGCTGTATGCGCCATGGTGCGGTCACTGTAAGGCCCTGGAACCCACCTACAAGAAACTAGGGAAACACTTTAAAGATGAAACCAACTTGGTCATCGCTAAAATGGACGCTACTGCCAACGACATTCCTCCGGGATATAGCGCAGAGGGTTATCCAACCATCTATTTTGCTCCGGCAAACGATAAGAAGAAACCGATCAAACACGAAGGCGAGAGAGGACTTGATGACCTAATTAAATTTATAAAGGAAAAAGCGACGGTCTCGCTGAAAAAGGCCAAGGAAGAACTATAAAATTATTTTAGGAACTAGTTGAAACATGTTGACTATTTTACAAAAGAGAGTGAAACAGGGCTCCATGGATAGCCCGGGTGTGTTAGAACGCCAGAAGGACGTGCGCCGTTTTTATTCACTCTGTTTGTGTCTTTGTGTGTCGTTTCTCTCTGTTCTCTTCCTGGTTATTAAGGACAAAGAAATATTTGCAATGTAACCCAAGCTAGATATCAAAGAAATAGTCCAGTCCCAGTGTCTTGCACATAGATACTCTTTCGGGACTGCAAAAGAAAAAACTTAGTTTCAGTGTCTTGTGTCTTTTCTACACATCAAGAACCTAGACGCGTTTCACTTAAAGAAGAATTGCTTAATAAAAGGATGAATATTCTTTATTTAATTTGTGTCTGGAAATAAGCTCGATGGAAATTATATAACCGATGGTTACTTTTCAAAGCTTTGATAATTAAATTCCAATGGGACGTTAACATCGGCTAATTTTTAAATCTTCCAGTTTAGTCCTTGCATTGCCCTCCACGATTCCCGGAATCTACAATGTTCCAGTTTGTTATTCACAAGATGCTACTGAATAAAGCCAGAATCATTCTTGCTTCACAAATGCAAAATGCATATGCTCCTCCAACCAACGTTTCCTAGTGTAGCCACAATGGGAGAAATATTGTTTTTACATTTGGTTAAGCACTAAGGCCACTGAAGGCGGGATTCACTTTTAAAACATGTTATCAAGTTAAAGACGGTGCCTCGATG